TTGATACTTCTACTTTAGAGGCTCTTGTTGAGGCTTTCTTCAAGACGTACGGAAATTACGATGATTTAAGATCGTCCAAGATGACTAAAGAATTTCACCAAGAGACACTTTCTGATACACGACGACGCCTCGATGATGCAAAACAAGAATATGAAAAAGTGAGCGAGTCTGTAGAGAAACTTCAAGCCAATATTGTGAGTGTTGAACAACAGCTAGCTTCCTTGGCCTCCAAAAAGAAGGAGATCGTCGCGCTCTTGGATAAACAACAAGTGAAGTTGGCTAAAAGTCACAAGTACATTGACATTACCGAAGGGAAGATTTATACCATTGAAGCCAATCATCCATTATCTGATGATGAAGAAGAGAAATTATCCCTCCTGAAAGAGGCAGTTGAGGCAAGCCGCCAACAAATTCTTAGCTTCAAACCTTTTTCATGATTTTAGAGAGTTCTTTTTTTGCTCAGGATTCTCGACTTACGATTTGTTTTTATAACTAATATCATGTAATGGAGCACTTTTTTCTTGGAGCAACAAAAGTATCTTTATTTTTTACTATGTGATATCTCTCTTTGAGACCTGGATTCCCTCCGTTACTCCCAATTATTTCTTTCTTAAATTTCAGCACGTGTCTTGTGTGTTGGCTTTGTTGCTTCGTGCGCTCTTGTTAAAGAAAGTCATATCTTGAGCTAGGAGTGTCGAAATTGCAATCCGTCTGTACCATTAGAAAGAAAACTCATAGACTGAAGTACCTATGAATTTCATGTCAGAACTCCTTTCGGGCTATCAACAAAAAATTTGTGACATCGACTTAACTGCAGTGAACTTTCAGATTTGCGTACCTTCGGCGAAAATAATTGTATCTTGTGCTAGGAGTATCGGAATTACAATCCTTTTACGGTGTCAAAAGTAGACTCGGAGATCTAAAACTCCTATAAATTTCATAACATAAATCCTTTCAGACTATCAACAGAAAATTTGCGAAATTGACTCAACTGCAGTGAACCTTCAGATTTGCGTACGTTTGGCAAAAATAATTGTATCTTGAGCTAGGAGTGTCGGAATTGCAATCTGTTCACGTCGTTAGAGAGTAAACTACAAGACCTAAAGTACCTATGAATTTCATGGCAGAACTCTTTTCGGTCTACCAACAAAAAATTTGCGAAATCGACATAACTGCTTTGAATTTTCATATTCGCATGCATATAGATGTCTTTGCGGCATAAGACCTTCTGGATTAGTCAAAGTTCCAGATCATGTATTGTTTGACCCTTTGGAACCCAGATTAGAAATTTCACAGTTAGGCCATATGATGGGGGAACAATTCACATTGGATTCAGCTACACAAAGCTTTATGGTAGCTTCATGTTTTGAAGAAATGAAGCAAACTTGGAAAGGCATTCAAGACAAGATAGCGACAATCTTTCGTGTCAATTGCTTTTATGACTTAGATTCTTCGTATAGGATAAAGTATAAATATTTTCATCCTTTTAGTCCCTTGACAATGATGTATCAGATCCTTGTAGCATTGAAGCAATGAAATATCCATTTTGGCTCGACACAAATTGCCTTCTTTCTTTCTGCAATATGTGCCTATTTGAGTAATCAACGTGATGCTTCAGCTCAAATTTTGATGATCATGTCACGTTGAAACACATTTTTTTAAAGCTTATGCGACTGAAATTAGAATAAAACTCTAAGCTGCCTACGTATCTCGATGAAGAGGATCAAGTCATAATGTAGTTCCAAATAAATGAGTTATTTTTTATTTTTTATTTTTTAATGTCCTAACTTTTGCCTAGGCCGCCTCTTTCGAGGTTTTCAACCTAGCGGACTTTTATTTTTTGCCTAGGCCGCCTCTTTCAAGGTTTTTAACCTAGTGAATTATTTTTTATGTCCTAACCTTTGCTTAGGTCGCCCCTTTCGAGGTTTTTAACCTAGCGGACTCCTTTTCTTTTGGGTACCGTTCGCAGTTTAGGCTCATGCAGGCCTGGAGCATAGAAACATGCAGCTTAGGCTCGTGCGTTAAGGAGCGTGTCTTCTTCAAGGATAATACCTTTTCAAAAATTTCGCATTGATAGGGCCAATTCTCATACCATCTGCATCAACTAACTTGTAAGCTCCACTTGAATAGGCTTCTTGCACAATATATGGACCATCCCATTTTGAAGTGAATTTTCCCCCGAATTTGCAAGAGGTGATAATAGGTCTTCTTACTACAAGAACTTGATCGCCAACTTGGAAGAACCTCAAGTTTTATTGAAAGCACGAGAAAAACGAGCTTGATAACATTCAAGACTTTGTTGAGCTTCTAGCCATTTTTCATCAAGGGACTCTAGTTCTTCAAGGCGTAGACGAAGGTTTTCTTGTTCATGTAAGACCTTCTTGGACAGTGAGTCGCAAGGATAGTATTTGACACTCATGAGGAAGAACTTCTTCGACTCCATAAACAAGAGAATAAGGAGTTGCTTGTTTCGGCTCGCGATGAGTCGTATGATATGCCCACAAAGATTCTTCTATTCTGTCATGCCAATCTCTTTTAGACTTGGAGACGACCTTCTTTAACAAGTTGCAAAGTGTCTTGTTAAATGCTTCGGCTAGTCCATTTGCAGCAACATAATACATTCACGAATTACGTTGCTTGAAGCCAAAAAGGTCATAGATTTTGGTCATCAATTTGCTATCGAACGGTTTGCCATTATTTGTTATTATATAACTAGAAATGCCGAAACAATATATGATGTTCACTCGAATGAAGCTTGCAATATTCTCTTTCTTCACTTCCTTGAGAGCGACGGACTCGACCCATTTTGAGAAGTAATCAGTTACAGCCAAGATGTATAGATGTCCTCCAGAAGATTTTGGAAGTGGTCCAACAACATCTAATCCCCAAGCGTCAAATGGCCGAGATGCAACAGTAGGGTGTAGTATTTTAGGTGGTTGGTGTATAAAATTTGCGTGAAATTGGCAAGCCTTGCATCTTCGAGCATAATCTAAGCAATCTTTCACCATTGTCGGCCAGTAGTAACCCATCCTCTTAATGTGGAAGTGGAGCTTCGGCCCAGATTGATGTGATCCACAAACTCCAGAGTGTACCTCTTGCATAACTTGAGTTGCTTCATCTTCCCCTAAACAACGCAAGAGAACTCCCTCAAATGATCTTCGATACAAAGTGTCTTTGTAGTTAAGGAAGCGAGGGGCACACCGACAAATTTTGGTCTTTATCCTTGGATCTTCTGGAAGTATCCCATAACATAAGTAGTCGATAATGGTTTGTCGCCAATCAACCTTCTCAGCTTCAGCGACAGCTACCAAATGCTCGAGCTTGCTTTCTTCATCCTCATTCTCATCTGGTGGTACTATCCATTTTTGGCAGATAGTGATTTGTGTCTGGGCGGGCAGAGTCAATGTCAAAGCAAGAGCAGCTAAGGCATCAACTTTCTTATTTTCCTTCCTTGGCACATGCTGAAGAGTTACATTGCCAAGCCATCCAATCAATTTCTGCGCATAATCATGATAAGGACACAATTCTGGCTTTTTGACCTCGTAGCTACCTAGAAATTGATTGATCACTAACTCAGAGTCTCCAAAAATATGTAATTGGAGTTGTCTCATATCAACGGCCATCTCAAGCCCAAGTATAAGTGCTTGATATTCTGCAACATTGTTGGTGCAATGTTGTGTTAAGGTGAAGGAATATGGCAAGACTTCTCCTTGAGAAGTGACAAACACAACACCTGCACCAGCTCCTTCACGATGTGCGGCACCATCAAAATATATTTTCCATGGTGGTTGCACTTCGATGATCATCGCATCCTCATCAGGTAGTTCATCAGTCAACTCCCAATTATCAGGTATTGGATAATCTACCAAGAAATCTGTCAAAGCTTGTCCTTTCACAGCTTTTTGTGGGATGTACACAATCTCGAATTGTTGAAATTGGAGGTACTACCTTGCTAATCGATCATTGAGGATGGGTTTTGACATAACAAACTTGATCGGGTTCGCCCTTGAGACGAAACGGATGACATGAGATTGAAAGTAGTGCTTCAGCTTTTGAATTGCAAAAACCAATGCCAGACACAACTTTTTGATTGGAGATTACTTCAGATCATTTGGGGTTATCATCCTACTCAAGTAGTAGAGGGAATTTTCTTTACTTTCACCATTTTCTTGGGCCAAAAGGGATCCAACTGACCTTTCTTGGGCTGCAATATATAGAATCAATGGCTTTCCTGGTATATGGACTGCCAGAATCGGAGGTTTCATCAAGTAGGATTAGATGCTTTGGAATGCGTTGCTACAAGCTTGGTCCCATTCAAAAGGTACACCCTTCTTCATGAGACGGCTAAAAGGTTGGCACTTCCCTGCTAGATTTGAGATGAATCTTCTAAGGTACGCCAATTTTCCTTGTAGACATTTCAGTTCATGTATATTTCTAGGCTCGGGCATCTTCAAGATTATATCAACTTTGGCTTGATCTATCTCAATCCCTCGATGTCGAACAATGAAGACAAGGAATTTTCCAGAAGTAACTCCAAAGTCACATTTCAACGGGTTCATTCTAAGTTGATATCTTCGGAGTTGTTCGAACACCATTCTTAAGTCTTGAAAGTGGTCTCCTCCCTTTCTTGATTTCACCACTAAATCATCTACATAGAATTCCACATTCTTGTGGAGGATGTCATCAAAGATATTCTGTATTGCCCTTTGATATGTGGCGCCGACATTGTTCAAGCCAAAAGGCATTACTTTGTAGTAATAAATGCCTTTAGGAGTGCGAAATGCAGTAAGCTCTTCATCTTTCGGTGCCATACTTATTTGATTGTAGCCAGATGATCCATCCATGAAATACATCGCCTCGTATCCGGTGGTGGCATCAATCATAAACTCTGGGATGCGGAGCGAAAATTCATCCTTAGGGCATGCATTATTGAGGTTTCTAAAATCGACACAAACTCGAATTTGGCCATTCTTCTTCTTCACAGGAACAATGCTTGAAATCTATGTAGGATTTTTAACCTCCCTAATGAAACCAGCTTCGATGAGTTTATTGACCTCGGCTTTGATTGATGGGATCAATTCTGGCCGGAAGCGTCTTTGGCCTTTCTTAACAGGACGAGATTCTTTCTTGACCGCGAGATGATGAACTGCTACTTTAGTATCTAAACTAGACATCTCTTTGTAGCTCCAAGAAAAGACATCTCTATATTCTTTGAGTAGCTCCACATAAGTGCTTTCTTCATCTGTGGTTGGTAGGGCGCTTACATAAGTGGGCCTAGAGTCTTCTGCAGTGCCAAGGTTGACTTCTTTTAATGCATCAACTATTATTTTAATTCCTTCTTCTAGTTCCAGAGGAGCATCCTCGACATCTTCGTCTTCATGGGGATCACCATCATTAAAAGGTATATGGCCACACCAAGAGGCATCTCCCAAATTTTCGTCGACCTTCCTTAGAAATGAAGTGTATTGCTCCTCATTCGCAATAATCTGATATGAAGATCCTACACTTTCTTTATCTTCGTCATGCTCTCTAGTGTGGACCACTGTGCGAGTCTTCACTTTGAGTACCTCTCCGCATGAAATCAAAAGTTCTGATTGTTGCCTCATTCTGGAAGGGATCAGGCTTTGACACTCTTTGGACTCTAGATGGCAAAGGTCTTCTTATTTTTTCATAATTTCTTTGGGACTTGTTCTCCTTCCTTTTCAATGGCCCCAACCTCTCAAATACAGAAGTTCTTGTAGTTGGTTCTCCAAGTCGATCAAAGACAGAAAGCCTTTTATTAGGATCAGCGGGTTCATCTTCCATCATGATATAGTTACTACTTGCTCTTCTAATGGAGATGCGAACTGGTGGGGGTTGTTTGTAACCCAAACCCTCACGTGATTGCTTCACCATATGCTCCTTATCCTTCATCGTGTTTTCTTTCCTAGTAGCTTCAGGTGGGAGCTTCCCTACCTTAGATGGTTCATTGGGATCATATCCAGCCTTTGCGAACAACCTGTAAGCATTCATATCAAAACCTTCATTTGTGCGTTTCATGGGGAGTGCCTTATTTTGAGGCATGTTAGGGGCCACAAACTTTTCCAGTAGCTTTGAATATAACTTTATGGTATCAATCTGCTTGATAGGAGGGGTTAATTCTCTTAGTTCATCTTTTTGGAGGCTTGATGATTCTCCTTTATCTTTCTTCACTTTTGGGACGTAACGAAATAAATGAGCTATTTTCTTGCCTGCAGTTGCAACATTCTTTTTGTAAGCTTTCGAAACTTGGTATGCTTCTATTGTAACTTTATCTTCACCAGAAGCTACTTCATCCCTTTTGGACACGATATTATCACATTTGGCCTTCGTAATGTCATCAACTTTTACTCCCTTCACGATATGGTTCTTCAAGTAGAACTTTGCATCATCGAAGTATGTCTCGGCTTCAGTGAACAGCTTGTCGTCAGCAACTATCTTCTTTTCGATTCCGTCTTTATTATATTTCAAACATTGGTAGTAAGTTGATGGGATAACTTTGTTCTCGTATATCCAAGGCCTGCCAAGCAACAAATTATATGAAGTCTTTGCATCAATCACATGCATCCATACAGTTTATTGCATATCTCCCATGGTGATTTCCAGTTTGATAGCTCCTATGGCCCTTTGTCCCCCTTGATTGAATCCTTGAATCATCAGTCGGCTTTCAGAAAGTTCTTCAGTTGAGATGCCAAGTTCTTTCATTATGCAAATTGAAAGAATGTTAACTGCATATCCTTCATCTATCAAGATTCTGTTTATCCTCCACTCGAGCACATAACCCACCATAAACAAAAGGCGATTGTGTGGTGTCTCACCAAGTAGGAGATCGTCTTCAGTGAAGGTGATTTTTTCATTACAGACATCTGCTTCTTGGAATGAGGACTCAACAAGACAATTATATAGTGATAGAGACGGTGTTGATGTGACTTCGTTCTTTTTCTCTTCTTCTTTATCAGCATTACAACACAAGGCCTTGTCATCATCGTCAGGAATCCTCATGCAAAACCAACTCGGCAAGAATTCTCCCAAAGTCACCGGGTGGCGTGGCTTTTGGTGATGGTGTGTCTCTATCTCCACCTTCTTTGGGTTCTTAACCATTTGTTGCTTCTTTGGTCTTCTCACCATCTTATTCCTCATAGGTTGCTTCGTTGATCCTTTTTGCGGACTCAATTTACGGCGTCTTCGACGAGTCACCAGGGTTCAACCTTCTTTATCAGGTTGATCAACTCGGACTTTGTCATCCTCCAATAATTTTTTATCTTTATTCCCTTCACAGGTGCATACCTCAATCGGATCAAATAAGCCAAAGGAAATGGACACATGGTTTGTGCTCGCATTTTTGTCTTCAAGATCGATCTTCTTTTAACGAGCCAAATCCATAATTTTGTCCTTGAAGACAAAGCACTTCTCAAGAGGGTGACCTACAAGCTGATGGTATTTGCAGTAATTTGGGTCATTGATTTTTCCAGCTTCTTCTGGCCGCTTCATCTCTGGCAGCTCAATAAGCTTTAGCTCAAGGAGTTCTTCAAATATTGCAGGCACATCGGAGTCTAGAAATGGGTACTCCTTTTCTTGCATCTCTTTGAGAGTCAACTTCCGATTTGGATTGTCTTGAGAGGAAGCGGTTTTCATACTCTATTTCTTGCTCGCCTTGGTAGTAAACTTCAAAGGAGAGGCATTAACGTTCATGGATTATTTGCTTTCATTCTTGGGTACGAACTTGCTACATTTCTTAACTTCTTGCTTATCTCTTCCCTTGCGAGGTTCGTAGATGGGCTGCCCTTCATTTCCCATAGAAGCCATGCTCAACTCCATATCATGAGCACGGGTGGCAAGTTCTTCAAATTTTCTGGGCTTAATTCCTTGCAAGATGTAACGAAGTCCCTAATGCATTCCTTGGATGCACATCTCTATGCCAGAAGCTTTGCTTAGTCTATCTTTGCAGTTAAGGCTTGCATTCCTCCATCAGTTGATAAAGTCAATAACCAGTTCATCTTTTCATTGGCGAGTGTTCGTAAGTTCCATCATGCTCACAGTACGCCTCGTGCTATAAAAGAGATTGAGAAACTCTTGCTCCAATTGGTCCCAACTATCAATGGATCTAGCCTCGAGGTCGGTGTACCAATCAAAAGCATTCCCCTTTAGTGAGTGGACGAACTGCTTGACAAAGTAATCTCCATAAGTCCCTGCATTGTTGCATGTCTCAACAAAGTGCGCGACATGTTGCTTTGGATTTCCTTTGCCGTTGAACTACTGAAATTTGGGAGGTTGATAGCCGGCAGGCATCTTCAAGCTATCGATTCTAGTTGTATACGGCTTTGTGTACGTGAGAGAAGACTTTGAATCAACCTCATACTTATCTTTGATAGTTCCCACAATGAATTCCTTCAATGGTTCGATGGGAATTGATCCTTCGGAGGAGACATGAAGTTCTTTGGCAGATGACACTTATTTTGTTGGAGGATCAGCCTTCTCGTGGACTTCAGGGAGCTTTCTAGGTGCATGACTTGATTCTCCATCCATCATGATTTCAACTATGCCTGTTAAGTTTGCGATACGAACATCTTGATCTTGAGCATACTTTGTTAAGCCTTCAATCGCCTTTGTCAGGTTTGCGAGTTGCTCCTCTATTGTCGAAGTGTTAGTCATCATTGCCTCCATGATTATTGCCGATGATGAAGAATAACCGAGACCTTCCCATGGATTGAACTCAATTTGGAACATGTCATGCGGCAAGATTTTCGTAGAGCCAACACTTAAAACTTCATCATCAGGTTGGGTAAGCTGACTCTTGGTATTGTATAAAGTAAGTTGAGCAAGAGCTTTCTCCACAACTCCTGCGATATTATCTTCTCTCTCTGATTTGCTAGCAGAGGACCTTTCTTCTTCGGATGATGAAGATCTCAAAGCATGTATTGGTGCAGACAACACTTTGAGTGCTTGATGTCCCAAGACGCTCGCCTTGCTTCGAGTGATTGGCCCAAAACTCCCCATAGTAGCGTTCAGGATACTTTCAACGTCAGAAGAAAACTTGGAGTCAGCAACTTTTGAGTAGATCTTCTTTGAAGCCATCTTAGTTATCTTGAATGTTGAGAGTTGAGAAGAGATGAGAGGTAGAGATGGTCCCACTGGGCGTGCCAAAATTTGTAATAACTAAATTTTGTTCCTGAAAAATAATAATGAAGACAAGAAATATAGCGACAAATATTATATTCAATTTCAAGTGATGGGGTTACAATCTATATAATATCCTGAATCTAAAGAGATGTAGTTCTCTGATTCTTCTCCTCACGAACGATGGTTCAAGATCTTGAGAGCTTGATCTTGAACTTGACAGATTTCAAATTTGTGGTGCGTCACGAACAACTTGAAGGTCGTCACGAACCAGAATTTGTTGTTGGGTTATCACGAACGGAAGATTTGAAACCGCCCGCTAATGATTTGCGTTCGCCTTTGGGATTTGACCACAGACGAAGATTGCATATGTGGATGGAGACCTTGATGCTATTCTTCAGAGCTTCTTTAGTCTTTCCTTCTGCTTACTTGATTGATCCTCTAGCCTTCTCCTGTGACCCCTTTATATAGGTGTGGGATGGAGCAATCTCCAAGAAAACCCTAGTGGGTTATTGGGCTTGAGGCTTATGGATCGACCCAATTAATAGAAGACCAACTAATGGGCTAACCCAATAATATACTAGACCTTTATTTAAATCAATTTAATTAGATTTAAATAATTGACCCGATCATACTAGCCCATAATANAATAATTCTTGCACAAAAAATTAGAATGCTTCCATGCCTCAGTCACGAGGAAGCGTTCATTTTCTGCAGTTTCGTCAGGCAGAACAGGAACATATTCCTTAATGAACTTCTGTAGACTTAAAGTCGTCAAGTAGAAGAACATCTTCTGCTGCCACTGCTTGAAATCAATCCTGAAATTATTTTCGGGCTTTTCTGCCGGTGCCGGTGCTAATGCCGGTGTTGTTCGGCTTGTCGATGCATTGACAGTCACCATAGGAACATGTTGATTTCCGTTCCTGTTCGTTATTTCTATAAAAAAGAATGACACAAACAAATGTATAATATACGGCAAAGTTTTTATATCTTCAAACCGAATAAAATTGGAGTAGAAAATCACATAAATTTTAATTTCTAATGGGGTAGAAAATCGCTAGGATTTTAATCTCCAAATGATAGATAATAAACCAAACAGAATATACGTTAAAGTAAACAATTGGAGTAGAAAATCACAGAGGCTTTAATCTCCAAAACGAGAGTAGAAAATCACACAGGTTTTAGTCTTCGGAATAGTATATACAACACAAATACAAAATATAATTAAGTTCCTTAAGGTTGTTAGTAATCTGTATTTGCAAAGTAACTCTGGAAATAGAATAACGTAAAAACAAAAATGTAGAAGAAAAATAATTTAATCTGTGCCAACTGAATTCACAGTGTTTTCTTAAGAAACTTAATCCCCTCCTAGTATCCGAGGTTGTGGATTATTTCTTCCTAGGATAGAACGGATTACACACTGGTTTAGTGGCACTTCAAACACCAGTATTTCAGTGAACACAATGATCGGTAGCAAATCACACTTACAATTGCTTTCTTTGAGTTGAAATAATGCATAAGAAAGAAGAAGAATTTAGAATTTTCTTAATAAAAATATGAGGGAATCACCTGCTATTTATAGCCAACATATTGGGTTTAACCGAAGAGGTGCAACTCTTCAACATGACTCTTCGCATAAAAACGGTCATTACGTAAATCGTTATTTTCGCAAAATAAAACGGGAAAATCAAATGCGGGGGAAAATTAATTTACCATTACAAAAACGACTAATTTGAATTAAAATAATATTATGTTAATCTTAGTATTAACAAATAAATTTTGTCTAAAACAATTAATCAATCAGATCATTTGACCAAATCCGAAGCCGAAGCCGAGCCGAGCGACGACGACAGCGCGAGACTTGCCTTCTTCTCAATTCTTTAAGAGCTAGAAGAAGAGCAATTGTATATATACCCATCAAAACTCTTTTTTCCTCCTTCAATATGGGACAATGTCCCTTTGCCAAAGAGAGAAATTCAAATATTTTATTTTCCCCTCAATTTTCCATTCACTCTATCTTAAGCTTTTAACAAGTTTAAACCCAACACTAATATGAGGGTGTTTGAATTGACTTGTTTCAAGTGCTTATTGGCTTTAAAGCATTTTTTTAGTTTGTGTGGTGTTTGACAATGATAAAAAGTGCTTAAAAGCACTTACTTTTAAGCATGAAAAGTACAAAAATAAGTCAAAAGCCAAAAGTTGGGTATTACCAACTTATGGCTTTTAGCTTTTAGCTTAAAAGCTACTCCACTTTTTAAAAGCCAATCCAAACACCCTCTATACCTTATTCAACATTATTCTTATACACCCTACCAAACGACCCCTAAATCTACCACTTTCAAAGTAAAATACCAAAAGCAGAAAAACATAAGCCAGTTGCTGTCGATTAATGTAATTCTAAGAATTTAAAATCAAGTAGCAGTAAAATAATTGTATTTAGTGATAATTTA